ATCTATCATATCTGTATATCTATCTATCATCTATCTATCTATCTATCTATCTATCTATCTATCTATCTATCTATCTATCTATCTATCTATCTGCATATTTTTGAAACAAGGTCTAGCTGCATATCCCAGGATGGCCTTAAACTCATAATCCTCCTGCTTGAGACTCACCAGTGTTGGGCTGAGAGATGTTCACTGCCACACCTGTCTATATGCCTTTTTAACTGTGCTCGTGTTAACAAGAAGACAATTTACTTCTGCTACTTTATTAGATATGGTCCAGTGAGTTGGGACAGCTCTATTGTGACAGATTCATTTATTTGTTTGTTCTTTTTGAAGTAGAGTCTGATGTAGCCCAGACTGGCCTCAAACTCACCATATTGCCAAGGATGACTGAACTTCTAGCCCTTTTGGCACCATCTCCTGAGTGCTGGGGTTTCAGGTGTGCACCACCACACCCAGTTTTAGGCAGAGTTGAGGATCAAACCCAGGGCTTCATGCATGCCAGGCAAGCACTCTACCAACCACACTACATTCACCAGCCCCACGTTATGACAACATTGTAAATCACTTCATTTCAAACAAGAGGAAAAAAAAATCTCTCAGTACCACCAAGTCCTTGGAATCTATCTAATAAAAAATGTGCCTGTTGTACCCCCATTCCTCATCTGCTCTAACCATACCCTCCAAAGAAGTGAGGCCACAGCTTTGGCTACAACCCAGACACAACTCTGGCCAGATCAGTGGAGCTATCAGCTTCCACACTGCCCCAGCTCTAAGGCAGGAGTTACCCTTGGTCACAGCATTAGTCTTCTTGGACAGCCTGTGGGTCCTGTTTCCCATCCACCTTCTCCTGAGGCCATTTTGGATGGGTGGGTCAATTTGGCTATTGACCAACCTAAAGCATTCACCCTTGGTGGTCCTCAGTCATGTGCCTTAGCCTTCACAGAGCCTTCTGCACTGGAGCTCACAGCCTCCCAGTCTTCCCCCTTCATTCTCCTCTCTTGCTCTACATGCATCCCTGACCCGGGTCCTCAATAGTCCATCCCCATTGAGCCTAATGGGTTCTGGGTCAAGCCTACCTTCTCTCACCCTCTTTAGGATTTTTCTCTGAGAGTCCTGTATATAAAGTATTGTCATAATTATCCCTGATTAATATTTTTGCACCTAATAAAGTCTCAGGGCCTGGGCTGGGGAGGCTCACCTTCCAGATGGCTTCTCCAGCAATTAAAGTGACTTGTTAGTTGGAGGCCCGGGATGGCTGAGGACAGCTGGAGAGCTGTCCTTTTGCAAGCGGCTCTGGTTAACATCAACCAGGAAAGCTCTCTGTAAACACATGAATAATTGATTGTGCGGCGCTCACATAGCTACCGCGGATCTGAGCCCGGATGACTCACTTGTGGGCCATCCCTGTCGTCTGGATGCCATAACATTGGAGGAATGATGACGGTTTCTTGGAGGTTCTTCTGTGGCCGGCGTAGCCAAGACGAAGACTGTAATGGTTTGTTATGATGACCTTTGCTATTCCATTAGGCTCAATTGCTTTAAAAAATGATGTGCGCGTACTTTAGGAACATTTTTACCCTTTACGTTGACCTGACATCATAGTTTATATTAGCAAATGTATTAATGACAGAGGAGTGTTTTCATGTCCCGAGGACAAGTTTTAACAACCATAATCTGCCCTCAGTCATCATAAATATAAATGTATTGGTCAAACAGACCTCGTTAATGTGGCCAAGATAAATGCAAGTCTATATTTTAAGGCAGTGGGAGCCCTAGAGAATATGGGGAGCTTTTTGCGGGCCTGTGAGATTCTGTATGTGTGTTATCTGCAGGCTGAGAAAATTAACATGTTCCCCTCTGGTTCTGTATCAGACAGATATAAATGTCTTAAGGATGTCGAGTGAGATTGTTCACATAGTTTCTGGACACCGTTAATGCCTGGTGGGGTGAATCTTAGTTCTTCAGGCTTCCATCTCACTCTACTCACAGGGCTTTTAGAGAAAAAGAAAAGATCCTAAGTCCTGGCAACGTGCTACCCAACTGACATGTCTCTGAGTTATATAGTGTCTCAGCTTTTTAATTATATTATCCTCCTTACTCTCCAGGATCTTCTTTCCTGTGAGACGGGACCTCTGCTGTGGATGTGTGCCTGACGTCTTGCCTCACCCTGGTTGGTAAGCCACATGTCAGCAGACAGTGTTCCGGGTGTTGTCTGTAGGCAGGATGTGAGGGACTCTGCTTTTCTCTGTGTCACACCACGTTCTCAAGTGCTGGACTTCATTAGCAGTGTCTGTGTTCCGAGCCGCTTAGGTAGAAAATAAATAGCGTTTTAATGGTGTTTTGTTTTGAACTGTGAAAAAAAAAATGCTCAAAGCAGGAACATCTCAGGGCCTCTCACAGAGAAGACTGTTTTTAGAGTGAATCTGTCTCCTCCTGATGTGATCAACTTGGTGCCATCGGTAACTTCTCTGTGGGTTGTGGTCACCTAATGATGAGTGCTGGATGGACTCTTCAGTGAAAGACGTTGGCTCTTGAATCTCCCTAACTGAATCCGCTATTTTTTTTTTTTAAATAGCACCAAACATTGGACTGTAGGATGTAATCTTGCCTGGATAAGTTCTCTGGGACAAGGGCCTGGATTACTTTCTAAACTTGTCCTAAAATAATCTCTTTTAACCTTTTGATGGTTTAGAAATTGAGGCATACTCAGTATTTTCTTTTTTTTTTTTTTTTTTTTTTTTTTTTTTTTTTTTTTTTTTTTTTTTTTTTTCGAGACAGGGTCTCTCTGTGTAGTTTTGCGCCTTTCCTGGAGCTCACTTGGTAGCCCAGGCTGGCCTCGAACTCACAGCGATCCTCCTGGCTCTGCCTCCCGAGTGCTGGGATTAAAGGCGTGCGCCACCACCGCCCGGCGTACTCAGTATTTTCATGGCATAGTTTTTCACAATACATGAGCGACAGATAACTCCAGTGTCCTCGCACAGATGGACAAACAAGCATAGGCACTCAGTGGGATGTTATTCAGCCTTAAAATTTAGCAAGCCTGTGGCATGTGTTCAGCGTAGATGGACCGAAACCAGCCACCCAGCATACATGCCACACACTCCACTTATGTGGAGACCTAGTAGTCAAACTTAGACATGCAGAGAGAAGGGACTCCTTGAGGGAGGGGAGAGCAGGGGTTGGTGTCTAACGGGTTCAGCACTTCAGTCCTACAAGCTGAAAGGAGGTCCAGGCAGCCATTGTGCAGCAATGAGCAATGGTTCCCTGGCAGACTGTATGGTCTGTGCACTTTGCTAAGATTTAAACAGGATATGAAGAAGGAGATGATGATGATGAGGAGGAGGAGCAGAAGCAGGAGGAGGAGGAGGAAGAGGAGGAGGAAAAGTGTCAAGCCCCGAGGGCCTTACAGGTGAATTTAAACATCAAGGCTCTCCTGGAAAGACACTGTAGGCACCAGCCCTGGGAAGAATCCCACCCTCTCCAGGCCCACAAAGGAGCCTTCTCCCGGAGACTAAAGCAAATGAAGTTGAGACTTAATGTCTTTGAGCCATGCCTCCATTGAGAGTGAGGTAGTTGCCCAAAGTCCTTCAGCTCTCTCCTCTGAACTGTGGTTCATAAGGACACGGGACTCCTTGGCATTGGCGTTGCTAGGGTTTACATTCAGATCTAGAGTGCCATTATTTTCTCTTTTTTTGGCATTTTATTGTTGGGCCATGTTTATGATACCACTTGAGTTTCTTGCTCAACCCTGGTAGGTTGTGCTGGTCAATGTGGATGGAGATAATTTGAGATGGGATACAGAAAAGGGAGTCAATTCTCCATGAAAGGAGGGCCTTTGGGCCACGCTGTGGTACTGATTCATCTGAGGGCCTCATGGGCAGGAGCCCTACCTAGAGGAGCTATATTGGAGATGGGTTTGGGGCTGGTTCCCTGGGAGGATCTCTCCTGTGTTCAGTTAATCATATGCATCATGGATTCAAAGAATACAAAATCGAGCATTTTTTTTTTTGTAGAAACTTCTATTTTGTTAGTTATTGTTATGTGTGTGTGAGGGTGCATATGTCAGAGGTCAGAGGGCAATTTTGTGGAGTTCTTTCTCCCCTCCCACTTCTACATAGGCTCTGAAGACGGAACTCCGGTCACGAGGCTCGCACAGTGTATTAGTTTGCATCTCCGTTGCCGTGATAAAACGCTCTGGTGAAAAGCATCTCGGGGAGGAAAGGGTTTGTTTGGCTTACAGGTTACAGTCCATCGCCAAGGGAAGGCAGGACCTGACGCAGAAGCCTGGGAGGAAGTCTGCTAATGGCCAGGGGGAGCAACCCCACTGCTTGCTCAGCCTTTTTTTCTTACAGAGTGCAGGGCCACCTGCCTAGGGCCGGGACTGCCCACCGTGGGCTGGGCCCTCCCACTTTAACCACCAATTAAAAAAATACCGGACAGACTCGTTCGGAGGAGGCAATTCTTCAGCTGAGGCTCCCTCTTCCTAGACAACTCTAACGTGTCAGGTTGACCACACGCGAACAAGAAACGGGCACACACACACACAGCAAGGCCCTTTACCCACCGAGCCATCTTGCTGGCCCCTCAAGTTGAGGGAGTTGGGGCGGAGGTGGTACCCTGGCTACCTGTCTGTAAGCAGCTTCAGTATCATCGTCGTGTTTACCCCACTGGACCTGAGTGGAGAGAAAGGGTTTAGTCCTGGTCCCTCCTGGCGACCTCACATTGGGTAGCTGTGTGAAGTGACTGGTAAAGTGTGGTCAAGAGTGGCTGCGCCAGACCCTGCTCTCGCTCCTCCCTGCTCCTCTGGGCTCTGCTCACCTGGAAGGTAACGGAGGGCTTGGCTGAGAGGACCCTGTCCCAGCTGGAGGGGGACCAACGTTCTCCAGCTCTGCCTGAGGCTGGCAGGATGAAATCCACGCCGGGATTTGGTACCAGAAATTCCGTTGTTGTTTTCAAGTTTCTAAACCACAGCTTCAGCTTCCAGCTTATCATGTGCCATTTTTTCCTCCCTTTCTCTCTCCCTCCTTCCCTTTTCCTTCCCCCCCCTTTTCTCCCTCCCTCTTTACAGTGCTGGGAATTGAGCCTGGGGCCGCCAATCTGCTACCTAAGTGCTGTCACTGAGCTGCACCCCCACCCCCAAGCCAGGCCTTTATTAGTGAGAAGCAGGCAGTTTTATCTCCATGAAACAAAATGATAACAGCAAACAAAATGTGAGCTCTCCGCGTCCCGCTCCAGTTGCCATACCTGCCATATCTCCCACCGCCATGAGCTCTCCTCCCTCTGGAACCATAAGCCCAAATAAATTCCTCTCTCTATAACTTGCCTTGGTCATGGCGTTCCATCACAGCAACAGACAAGTAACTGACATGAATATGATCTTTTTTTTTAATTGCACTTAGTATTATTGTGTGTGTATAAAACATACGTGTGTGGCTCCACGTGCCACAACGTGAGTGTGGAGATCAGAGGACAACTATGTGGAGTTAACTCGATCCTTCCACCCTCACGTGGGTTCCAGGGATCAAAGTGAGGTCGCTGAGCTTGCCTCCCCCGCCCCCCACCCCGGCCCAGTACATTCCAGTTGTATCTTGTGTTTGTAGGGGGACCTGGAGGCTGAAGAGGGACCCTCTAGTGAGTGATGGAGGAAGGATGCAGGTCTCTGGGGAGCTAAGAGTCCCATCCCTGCCCCCGGCATCTCCTGAGGCCTGCCTGAGGCAGTAGATTTGAGAAGGTTAAATAATCTGCCCACATTATATATGGGAAGCTAGAATCAGATCTCAAGGCTCTGGCTTCTGGAAACACATGGCTGTCCCCTCAAAGAATGGAAGAGTGCTGTCCATTGGAAACTCCCCCCTGCCACCCCTGCATTCTTGTTTTTAAATATTTGCTTGCAATTTAATGATAGACACCAGAGCTTGGATCACCCGGGACTCTTGTTTAAAGTGGTTATTCATGTGTGTGACTCTAAGCTGGTCCCAGCTGGTGGGTCTGCAGTGGGTCTTAGGAATCCCCGGACCCCAATCTTGTTAAACTCTCACCCCTTTTCGGTACACCAAGTTCCAACCTAACTCTGCACAAGTGACATTAATGTCAACATCCTCCATACAAAAGAAATCAGCCGGGATGAGACATTCTTGCTCCCTGTGAAAAAACGGAACCCACTAGAACGCATCATGGCTTAGGAGGGGTGTGCTCATTTCGGGTGATGAGTTCCCAGGGATTCAAACACCTCCCACAGCCCCGACTCTGAGATGCCCCAGAGCCCCATCTGTGCCCTCAGAGATGGGAAACAGGGCAAAACCCTAGAGGCAGCAGGCCTCCCACAGAGTTTCCACCCAAAGCAGGGACTATATGAATTCACCCTCATCATTAAGGCGTGGGGCTTAACTAGCATGTACAAATTGTGTAACACGTTGCCTGTATGTGTGAACGTTTGTGTGGGAGAATAAACGGGACAGGGCGCTTTCACAAGAACATCGGCTTAAGAAAATCAGCGGCTACTTTTTTGATGAGTCAGTAAATAGAAGACATTCAGAATCCATCACGGCCAGTTTCACAAGCATGGGGCCCAGCAGCATGGCCTTGCTTTTTTTCTTTTCTTTCTTTCTTTCTTCTTCTTTTTTTCCTCTGTTGCCTTCTTTAAGACAAAACTAGGATCGGGAAAGCTGCTTGAGGCTGGCACATTCCCTGAAAAGGAGAGAGAGGGGGAAGGAAAGAGGGGGCGGGGGAGAGGGAGCCCTGGCTTTCCTCCCCCTGCCTCCGCCATGCTTCACGGAAACTGGAAAGATGAATTTCAGGCTTTGTCCAGAGCTCTGAAACCTTAAATCCTTCTAGAAAATAACCTGTCTCTCAGGAATGTTAGGTCCTAGAGAATAATAAGCACCCCTCCGCCCCCCTCCCGGGCAGTGGACCTCCTCCCCGCCCCCTGCCCCTCCCTGGCCCTGCTTTTGACTGTGATTACTTAAGTCGGAATAATAGAAGGATGTAATAAATCTGCAGGTATCTGCCCTGGTTGTGGTGGGGCAGAACTACATGACAAGATCAGTTGCAACCATAGACACAAAGCAGCACTTTTTCCTCCCACTGGGGCATTGTGGCACCGAGCTTCTAAAAAATCGTTCTGCGTTCTTGATACCCTGATACCTGCTAGATTTTCTTCTTTCTGAACACAAATGCTGAATAACACAGCTTCTGTTCAGATCACTTGACAGCAGGCTGAATGTGAGTGTGTGTGTGTGTGTGTGTGTGTGTGTGTGTTCAAGAATGAACACGTGTGTGTGCACAGTGAGTGTGGATGCCAACCTCTAGTGTCATCCTTAGCTCTTCTCCATATTTTTTTAATCATGTGTCTGTGCATGTGAGTGCCTGTAAAGGCCAGAGTACTCTCTCGCTCTTGCTCTTTCTCTTTCTCTCTCTCTCTCTCTCTCTCTCTCTCTCTCTCTCTCTCTCTCTCTCTCTCTCTCTCTC